GGGGAAGGAGGAGGTTCAAGAGAAGGAGGATTACGAGGAGGACGAGGAGGAGGAGGATTCAGAGGAGGAGGAGGAGGAGCAATAAGAGGATGAGAATGAATAAGAGGAGGAGGCGGAGGGGGGGGGACGAGGAGGAGGACGAGGAGGACCCTAGCCCTTGGGGTGCGACAACAAACGCTTCGCACGAGATATTCTCCAAATCTGCTATGAAAGCGGAAGATATTGAGCTGGTGAGCAGACAAACCGCTTGAGACATCCCCGCAATCTGGGCGCGAACGAGGGCCGTGAGATACTCCTGGCGCCCCCCCCCCCCAGGAGTGCGAAAGCCAGCAACCCGCCTGAAATATCCTCAGGATCTGTTCTGAGCGCAGCCGAGCCTGGCCACCAAAACAGGCAAACCGCTCTCGAGGCATCCTTACAATCTGGCCCCCTCTGGTCATCAGCACCGTCATCACCATCACCACCCCCTCCACCAGCATCATCATCAGCAGCAGCAGCATCTTCACTAACACCACCAGCAACATCAGCATCATCGTAATCAGCATCATACCAATCATGATCACCATCATCAGTATTATCGCCATCACCATCGTTTTTCATCATCATCATCATCATCATCATCATCATCATCATCATCAGCAGCAGCAGCAACATCATCATCGTTCATCATGTTCATCATCATCCTCGGGGAGAGGGCGAGACGGGAGGAGGGTGTGTGAGGGAGGTCCGCGCAGTCACAAAAAAATATTCACTGCGTGGAGCTCCCAATTCTCGCTGAAATACTCTGTCTGTAAGCATCTGGGTGTGAGAGCGAGTCGGCGTGGACGACGGGCGCGACAAAGACGACGACGACAGCGACGACTGCAGTGACTTCAGTGGGCATCTTCCATGAGAGATGAGGGAAGCACAAGTGGAAGAGCGATTGGGCATTGGACCACCAAAGCGGGGACGACTAAGCGAATCTGGGCATGAGTGACCTGAGTGTGAGCGAGTCTGATTGTGAGTGGGCCTGGTTATGATTGAGTGCGAGTGCCACTGAGTCCAGATATACCAGAGTCTGAGTACGAGTTGGTCTGAGAATGCGTAACTCTGGGTATGAGTGGGTCTGAGTAAGAGTGGGTCTGGGTGTGGGTACGCCTGGGTGTGATTGACTATGAGTCTGCGTGTGAAGAGTACGAGATGGAGTCTGAATGGGTCTGCGTATGAGTGAATCTGACTGCGAGTGAATATGAGGGTGTGTGGGTTTGAGTGTGAGTGATTATGAGTGTGCGTAAGTCTGAGTGCGACTGCGTCTGGGTATGATTTGGATGAGAACGAAACTGACTATGAGTGGGTCTGACTACGAGCGAGTCTGACTACGAGTGGGTCTACGGGTGAGCGTGTCTAAGTGTGAATGAGTCTGAGTGTGCGCAAGTCTGGGCGTGAGTGAGTGTGAGTATGAGCATGATGAGTACGAGTCTGACTATGAGCGAGTCAGAGAACGAGTGAGTTTGAGCATAACTGAGCCTGGGACATTCTCACAATCTGGGCCCCCTGGGGTGCGAAAACCAGCGCCTCGCCCGAGTCATCCTCATAATCTGCTCTGAACGCAAGCGAGTCTGGCCAGCAAAACAAGCAATCCGCTCGAGACATCGTCGCAATATGTGCCTCCAAGGGTGCGAAAACCAGCGCCTCGACCGAGACATCCTAAGAGTCCGCTCCGAAAGCGGAGGATGCTGGGAACCAAAACAGGCAAACCGCTCGAGACATCCCCACAATCCGGGCGCGAACGGGAAAATGAGATACCCCTGGCGACCCTCCCTTGGGGGCGAAAACGAGCGCCTTGCTCGAGACGTCCTCAAAATCTGTGCCGAAAGCGGAGGATGGTGGGAACCAAAACAGGCGCCCCGCTCGAGGCATTCCCTCCATTTTGGCGCGAACGGAGGAGTGGGATACACCCATGGCGGCTCTCCCTTGGGGGTGCTGAAACCTGCGCCTAGCTCGAGGCATCCTCAGAAATTGCTCCGCCATCATCATCGTCATCATCATCATCATCCTCCTCCTCCTCCTCCTCCTCCTCCTCCTCCTCATCATCATCATCATCATCATCATCATCATCATCATCATCATCATCATCATCATCATCATCATCATCATCATCATCATCATCATCATCATCATCATCATCATCATCATCATCATCATCATCATCATCATCATCATCATCAATCATCATCAGCATCATCATCATCATCAGCATCATCATCATCAGCATCATCATCAGCATCATCATCATCGGGGGCCTCAGCGACTCGGCGGTGTCCCCCCAGGGAGGACGGGATCATCATCATCATCATCATCATCATCGTCATCATCATCATCATCATCATCACCACCATCACCATCATCACCATCACCATCACCATCACCACCACCACGACCATCATCACCAGCATCAGCATACTATAACACAACACAGCATAACATAACATAATAAGCCATAACTTAACAGTGCATACCATCGCATAGCATATGACACCATAAAGCCATACAACACAGCATGGCACAGCATAACATAACATCATTTAACATCGCAGATCATAATCTAACATACCATACCACCGTATAACATGACATGCCATAATATAACATGGCCGAACACATCGTAATATGACATGATATAACATAACATAGCATAGCATGCAATGTCAAAACATGGAATATCGCACTATAGCATAGCGTATCCTAGAATAACGTGTCATAACGTAACATGAAATACCATACCGTGCCATCACATCACATTACGTAACAGCACCTGCCACAACATAACATGTCATGTCAGATCGAAACATGTCAGATCATGACAAGACATAGCATGAGACGGAAGAGGTGGAGGGAGGGGTGAGTGAGTGAAGGAGTTGGCGCGGTCGGAGTAATAAGTATCCACTGCGTGGAGCTCCCCAGATGCGTATCTATTCGCATGGACCTGTCCGCAATGAGCGTCTAGGCGCAAGGATATTCGAATGTAAACGGGCTTGAGTTGTGACGGTCTGGTCATGAATCAAACTGCGAATGAATTGGAGTGTGAATGAGTCTCAGTAGTACAAGCGCGTCTCTGCGCATGAGCCTGGGGCCTCCTGAAAACTCCTGGGGCTTCCTGGGTCCTCCTGGAGCCTCTTGGGGCCTCCTGGGGCCTCTTGGGGCTTCCTGTGGACTCCTGAGGCCTCCTGGAGCCTCGCGTGGCCTCCTGGGACCTCCTGGAGCCTCCTGGGACCTCCTGGGGAGAATTCGTGCCCGCGGAGAGGCCCAATCTATAGGAACAGAAGTACATCAAACATTGCGGATTGGAGCCACAAGAAGGGCAATCTATAGGAACACACGTAAAACACCAAGGACTCGTGCCCTAGGGGAGGTTCTCTCTATAGAAACATACGTAAAACATCTAGGATTGAATGCACAGGAGAAGCGATGCGATGCGGCCACCGTTGCGGACAGCGTCCGGGCCTGCTCAAGACCGGGTGGGCGAGGCCGTGGCCTCGGGAATCTGGCGTGTCTGGACAAAATGCAATGCGAGACAAACGCGCAAAAATTAGGAGGAGGGACGGAGGGATGACGGATACACAGGAGAAGGACAATATGTAGAAGCATCAAGGGTTCGTGCTCCAGGTGAGGCCTAGTCTATAGGAGCATGCGTAAACCACCTGGGATTGGAGCCACTCATGTGGCCTCCTGAGGCCTCCTGCTCATGGGGCCTCTCGGGGCCTCCTGTTGCCTTCCGGGGCCTCCCGGTGCCTCCTGGCGCTTCCTGTGGCCTCCTGGGGCCTCCTGTGGCCTCCTGAGGCCTCATGGAGCTTCCTGGGGCCTTCTGGAGCCTCTTGGGACATCCTGTGGCCTCTTGAGTCTTCCTGTGGCCTCCTGATGCCTCCTGGAACCTCCTGTGGCCTCCTGGGGCCTCCTGAAGCCTGCTGGAGCCTCCTGTGGCATCCTGGGGAGAATCTGTGCCCACGAGTCTGGCCACCAAAACAAGCAAACCGATCGAGACAATCTAGGCCCCCCTTGGGGGCGAAAATGAGCGCCTCGCTCGAGGCATCCTCCAAATCTGCTCCGAAAGCGGAGGATGTTGGGCATGCAAACAGGCAAACCGCTCGAGGCATCACCGCCATTTTGGCGCGAACAGAGGCCGTGCAATACCCCTGGCGGCCCCCCCGTAGAAGTGCTGAAACCAGCAAACCGCTCGAGACATCCTCTGACTTTGCTCCGCCATTATCATCGTCATCATCATCATCATCATCATCATCATCATCATCATCATCATCATCATCATCATCATCATCATCATCAGCAGCAGCAACAGCAGCAGCATCAACAGCAGCAGCATCACCATCATCATCATCATCATCATCAGCAGCAGCAGCAGCAGCATCGTCATCCTCATCATCATCAGCATCATCAGCATCGCCATCATAATCATAGCATAGCATTCGCATAACATAACAATTCACAGCACACCATGTCGTGCCATAACATAACATAGCATAGCATAGCATAGCATAACATGCCATAACAAAGTATAGAATGTCATACCAAAGCATGGCAAAACATACCATATCTTAACAGTACCTACCATATCAGGCCATACCATAATATTTCATACCATACCATAACAGAACAGTAGCCATATCATAACATAGCATGCCATGGAACAGCATGGCTTAACATGAGGAGGTCATATTATGAGTAGGATGGGCAAGAGAGGAAGGAGGGGAGGAGGAGGAGGAGGAGGAGGAGGAGAAGTGAGGTCCGAGGCATCTACGTAATAACAAGAACCCCATCTTAGGATATGGGAATAATAACCAATCCTTTTATGTCGTGCTCTGCACCTCCTGCTCGTATTTTCTGAGTCATCGACCTCGTCGTCACCCACATCATTAACCTCGTCATCATCGCCCTCTCCCCCTATGCTCCTCATCCTGCTCTTCGTATTCTTTATCGTCCTCCTCTCCCTCGTCTTCCTCGTGTGTCCCCTTTACCTTGGCGCGCAATCGTGCAAATCCTCGAGCCGCGGCATGTCAAAGTAGAGTCTGAGACATGGCAGTTTGCTGTCCAAGTGAGAAGGAGGAGGCTGCTCGAGCTGCAGATACGTTGCTCTGTCCTGCTCAACATTGCCGTGACAGCCTGGCAATATTACCTCCTGTGATGGCTCAAATGAGATAACAGCTTCCTGGCCTGGAGCGGACGCAGACAGAGCTCTTCCTGCATGTCCTTCTTGGAAAGCTCGACGAGCATCTTACCGTCCACAGCGTTGTCCTTGAAGTGGTGAAGACAATGGCCGAGCCCTAGACTCGAAACGAACATTGCAACCTCCTTCACAGTCCAGTCGCTCGCAGGGCCCTTGGGCACCTCGACTGATGGGCCGTTCGGCACATGTGTCTCCGATGTCTCCTTGGAGGGGGACGTGGGGCTCCCGGCACTCTTGATAATTTGATTATGAGGACTGCCATGGGTCCGATCCTCCAGTTCGAATGCATGCCCCAAAGTCTCATCCCTCCCGAAAGGATCCAGTGCCTCCATGTCTTGGATGAAAATATCTCGCCAGTTGATACGTCTCCGCGGCTTCCAGAAGCAAGCGTACAGCAACGCCACGGTCCAGGCCAAGCCAACACATCCCCCAACGGAATTCTCCGCCACGTCCAGGAGCTCCACCTCCCAATCATCTTCTGATACCGCCCTGATGGGGTACAAGGTGGCGACAGCGGCAGCGAATATCGTAAGCACTCCGAACAACAAGAACCAATCGGTAAACGTCTGGTATGGCACGCAGGGCAGGCGATCCGAAACACCGTACTTGAAGGCGACCAGGGTGAGCATCCCGCCGCTGTACAAGCCAAGGCGCTCACCCAGATACACCTTACCAGGAGGCATGCCCAGCGGCGTCATGGACAACATTGTGATCAAATAGGCCACCAGAAAAACCTGCCAAGAATAGAAGCGGTGCTTGCGCTGAAGCCGCAGGTGGACCGTGAATTTCGACGCGTGGGTCGGTGCCGACATCGAACCTGGAGTTCTGCAATCGCCCTCTGGAGTTTCATTCAATGGCCTGATGTAGGCACGGAAGGTTCTCCATTCGGGGAGCATGGAAGAAGTGTGCACTTCGAAACTCACAAGTCTCATGGACTTGTGGTAGTCAGCTTCGTCTTTATGCACACGCCAAACGAACTCCATTCTTTCCAGACTCAAGAAATGTCGGTCGAAGGGAAAATCTACCATATTGAACGCCTTGAACCCTTCCAAGGTAAGCAAAGTTACGCCTCTCCAGCACAAAGTCTTGTTGGTCGTCGTTGGCGAGGCGCCGGCGAGGGTCAGGTCCTTCCATATCCTGCTCTCTTCCACTGTCACGATGAGCCCTGGCATGCGGACTCCTGGGACGCCTCGCAAGCCAATCTCAGCCTCCTCTTTGGAGTTCAGCGTGCGGAAGAACCAGAGGCACTTCATCCGCAGGCGGTATGTGCCCATCTTCGGGTCCAACTCCACCACGCGGACATACGCACGGCACTTCGCCAGCTCTAGTCGCGTCATGTCCTCGGTGTCCCACAGATCCGTTCCTGGCTCCGGCTTGCTCTCGTACGAGAAGCGGATGTCTTCGAAGGGAGCCTCGTCGTCGTCGTCACCCGTCAGGATCACGGGCAGCGGGTCTTCGTCGTCCAGCGCGTGTCCCTCGTGCGACGCCATCGCCGGCTCCAGTGGCCCGAGAAGCACTCGCCGCCCTTCAGCTACAAGCTTGACCTGCCTAGTGGACGGGCCTTTGACCTATCAGAGAGCTGAAAGAGGAGAGGCCATCTCTCGCATGGCGTGCTTGCGAGGGCGCGCGTGCACGGGCCGACGAACCACCGCGTCTCGAGAGAGAACGGTTGCAGAACCAGTGTCCCGCGACTCTCGACTCCGCCTCCAGATGTAGAGCCCAAGGTCTAGGAGGGATTCAGTTCATCACTTCGCTTGTGCATGCGCATGCGTATGCGCAAATTCTGCGTATGCTTACACATGTTGTGTCGCCGTGCTCAGATTTACTCTGGTGCCTCTCTCTCTCTCTCTCTCATCTTAGCTGTGCTCAGATTGCTCAGTTTGTGTTGGCTTACACCCCATCGAACACACATAATCGCAAAGCCAGGCGGACAAACGTGAAGCAGTCAAAAATCAATGACCCCGGCAAAGCAACCTAACAGCGATGCGTAGGAGCATATCTGGAAGCATTCCCCTTAAGATTCAGATGAGAATCCAGTTGTAGAATTCTGCTGTTCTCGCAGTCGCAGTCGCATTCGCGATGACAGTGGCAGTGGTAACGGCAGTCGCAGCCACAGCCTCAGCCTCAGCCTGCCTCAGCCTCAGCCTCAGCCTCAGCCTCAGCCTCAGCCTGCCTCAGCCTCAGCCTCAGCCTGCTTCAGCCTCAGCCTCAGTCTGCCTTCAGCCTCGGCCTCAGCCTCAGCCTGCCTCAGCCTCAGCCTGCCTCATCAGCCTCAGCCTCAGCCTCAGCCTGCCTCAGCATCAGAGCCTGCCTCAGCCTCAGCCTCAGCCTGCCTCTGCCTCAGCCTCAGCCTCAGCCTTCAGCCTTCAGCCTCATCATGCCTTCAGCCTCGGCCTCAGCCTCAGCCTGCCTCAGCCTCAGCCTGCCTCAGCCTCAGCCTCAGCCTGCCTCAGCATTCAAAATGTGGCCCGGGAATGGAGTTCTGGAAACTCGAAGACCACGAAGTGGCCTACAGTTGGCTCCGGGCATTCAAAATCATGCCCAGGAATGGAGTTCTGGGAACTCGAAGACCACGAAGTGGCCTACAGTTGGCTCCGGGCATTCAAAATCATGCCCAGGAATGGAGTTCTGGGAACTCGAAGACCACGAAGTGGCCTACAGTTGGCTCCGGGCATTCAAAATCATGCCCAGGAATGGAGTTCTGGGAACTCGAAGACCACGAAGTGGCCTACAGTTGGCTCCGGGCATTCAAAATCATGCCCAGGAATGGAGTTCTGGGAACTCGAAGACCACGAAGTGGCCTACAGTTGGCTCCGGGCATTCAAAATGTGGCCCAGGAATGGAGTTCTGGGAACTCGAAGACCACGAAGTGGCCTACAGTTGGCTCCGGGCATTCAAAATCATGCCCAGGAATGGAGTTCTGGGAACTCGAAGACCACGAAGTGGCCTACAGTTGGCTCCGGGCATTCAAAATGTGGCCCGGGAATGGAGTTCTGGGAACTCGAAGACCACGAAGTGGCCTACAGTTGGCTCCGGGCATTCAAAATCATGCCCAGGAATGGAGTTCTGGGAACTCGAAGACCACGAAGTGGCCTACAGTTGGCTCCGGGCATTCAAAATCATGCCCAGGAATGGAGTTCTGGGACCTCGAAGACCACGAAGTGTGTAACTGTTTGCTTAAAACGACTTCCGCGGATTCTCCCCGGCACCCGCCCAGACCCCCCTGGGGAGTCAAGATGCTCTCTTTTGACACCACTAGAAACCTATCAGACTTCGCTGTTAGGTAATAAAGAAACATAAAACGCCCAAAGAACGAATGATTTCATTCAATGAATCGCAGCTCCCCTGATGCGCTATCACGCCAGAACTGGAACAGAATGAATGATTCGCCCCCCCGACACATGGCCGTGTGACGGGTACAGCAGAGCAGTACTTGTTTCCGTCCCCATCTGTTGCCACGTGACGAGAAGACTCTAGTAGCCGCGTCCCTGCGTTGCCACGTGGCGTTTGGGATGCCGAATGGGTTCGGGCGTTAGGGTCAGAAATAATGCTTAGGTTGGGGTGGTAAGATTAGGGTTAGGGTGCTAAGGTTAGCGTGTCATGGTCAGGGTAAGGGTGTCAAAGAAAGGGATCGGGTGTCAGGGTTGGGGTTACTGCTCAGGGGTACGGTGTTAGCGTTCGGGTGCTAAGGTTAGGACATTGATGCGAAAATGCTAGGGTTAGGGTGAGGGTGTTATGATGAGGGTGTTTGGTTTTGGCTATTAGGGTCAGGGTGTTAGGGTTAGCGGGCTAGGGCTCGGGTGTTAGGGTGCGTCGATGAGGGTTGCGGTGTCAGTGTCAGGGTGGCACCGTTAGGGAGTTAAGGTTAGGGTTCGGGTGTTAGGGTTAGGACTCTTGCTTAGGGTCATGATGCTAGGAGTATGATGCTGGGATTAGCGTGTTAGGGTTAGGGTTAGGGTGTTTAAAAAAGGGATTGGGTGCAAGATCAGGGTGTTATGTTGTTAGGGTTAGGGCTAGATTTAGGGTGTTAGGATTGGGGTATCAGGGTCAGGGTTCTAGAGCTAGGATTAGGGTGTTCAGGGCGCGGGTGAAAGTGCTTGTGTCAGCGTTCGGGTGTGAGAGTTAGTACACGTGCGGACTGGTGTCCGTCGACTTTCCCGTCCAAGGTGGCTCCAAGATGACTCCAAGCAACGATGGTCCAGTATGACCTCCAAGACGGTACCAAGATGCCTCCAAGACAGACGATATGGCCCCAGTGAAACCCAAGATGGCTCCAAGACGGCCCCAGATGGCCTCAAGACTGCCCAAGTGTCCCCCGATTCAGCCAGAGAGGGCTCCAGGAGGCAGAGGCCAAAATCACTTGAGGCAGAGGGCTCCAGGAGACAGAGGGCTCCAGGAGGCAGAAGGCCAAGGGGCTCCATAGAGGCCCCCAGCGGCCCCCAAGAGGCCCGCCCCCCTTAGCTGAGGAGCCCCCCGAAAGCCACAAGAGGGCACCAAGAGGCCTCCTGTGGACTGTGGCAGACAGATCCAGCGGATGCTGCCCTTCCCGGAGGAGTGGTAAGGCGAAGGAGGAGGAGGAGGAGGAGGAGGAGGAGGAGGAGGAGGAGGAGGAGGGGGGACGAGGAGGAGGGACGAGGAGGACGAGGAGGAGGAGGAGGAGGGAGGAGGACGAGGAGGAGGAGGAGAAGGTGGAGGAGGAGGAGGAAGAAAAAGAGGAGGAGGACCTCCCCCCAAAGCTGGTCGGCCCTGCGGGGCAGACCTAACGAAGGAGCCAGGCGACTGCTGCCGCGGTCGTTGCAGGAGCCGCCCGCCGGGGTAGACAGCACCAGGCAGAGGGCGGCAGACAGCAGTGCGGCTCCTCCTCCTCCTCCTCCTCCTCCTCCTCCTCCTCCTCCTCCTCCTCCTCCTCCTCCTCCTCCTCCTCCTCCTCCTCCTCATCATCCTCCTCCTCCTCCTCTTTCCGCTTTCCGCTCCTCTGGCGGTGGCCTCAAGGGAATCACCGCAATCCACGCTCCACCACGCTACTCGCCAAACGAAGCGAAGAGCAGGGATTCACCCTGATCACTTACACTCCGATACTCCGCAACCTGCCAGCTGAATCCTCCTCTCTCGACCAGAACCTCATGGTTCTCCTGAACCCAGCCGACGCGGAGGCGGGGATGAAGCGGGGGGACCACGGGGCTGGACCGAGGGATAAGCTGCTTCGGGGTGGGGTCCTTGCCCCTCTTGAGATCCTTGAGGGCCCTGAAACGCCGCCCGGTAGGGTGCCCAACGCAGCGCTCGGCCAACGCAAGAATGCGTTGTCCTCCTCCTCCTCCTCCTCCACCTCCTCCTCCTCCTCCCCCTCCTCCTCCTCCTCCTCCCCCCCCTCCTCCTCCTCCCCCTCCTCCTCCTCCTCCCCCTCCTCCTCCTCCTCCTCCTCCTCCTCCTCCTCCTCCTCCTCCTCCCCCTCCTCCTCCTCCGCCTGCTGCTCCCCTCTCGCTTCCTCCCCCGAATGTTCCCCCAAGAGGTTTCCGCCACGGCGGGGGGCGCACGCAGTTCGGTGGCACGGCCGAGCGGCTGGGGGCGGCGGTGACTCGCAGAGGGCGTCTTCGATAACCCCGAGAAGAGCCGCGGGGGGACACGAGCTCACGAGAGGGGAGGGCCACGCGCCACCGGCAGGACAGGACAGGACAGGATGCAGCGCTGCGGGTGGTCCCGCGCCCGTGCCCCTTGAGGGCGGTCGGGCTCGCCAATCGGCAGAACAGAAGCCATGATGTGCATTGGCAAGGTGGTGAAAATGCTGCACTGCGAGCTTCGCAAAGTGGCCGCTGAGTTTTCCCACGGGCAGGCGCATCGAAGCTCCGCGATCGCTTCCACGAAGAGGCCACGAGCCACACGAGGGCCACGAAACCACGAAGCACCAGATCAAAAGGCGGCATGGATTCCCCACCGGAGGCTCACCACAGGGCCTCCAACCACGAGCGTCATGACCAATCAAGGTGGCCATGGGCCACGAGCTAATCGACACTTCATAGTCATCCCCGCGACAAGGCCACGAGACGGGTGCGAACCACGAGAAGGCCACACGGCTACGAGCAAGCGCATAGAAACTTGACACGCACCCCACAGCGACCCACGACGGGGCCAAGAGGCAGCCACGAGACATGAGAGGGCCCGAGCCTCGAGCCATCGAACAGAAAGTCCACAACCACCAGGCCCCGATGATGACATTGAAGACCCTGCAGCTTCTGACACCCCAGGACACGCAGATCGCAGCCCACACGTGGTGGATACGATGCGGCGACGACGGGGCAACGTGCCATCGAACTGCAGAGCTCCCACACACCACACGCGAGGTGTCCACGATGGTGCCGCGGGCCACGGCCAGTCGAATCGCGACCTCAGATCAGGCCCCAAACGGAGACGCCGCCACGGGGCCACGGGCCACGGCGAATCGTGCACTTCGGGCTACCCTCTGTCCAGAAGCCGCTCGTCGCTGGCCGCTGGGCCCGCGGCGATGCAGGCCAGCTCCATCCGGTTGCCAGGCGTCGCCTTCCTCGGCCCCGTCGCGGCCTGCAGGGGCCAGCAGGGAGGAGGGGTCAAGAGATGGACGGGGCGAATGATGAGGATCGGCACGGGCAGGGGGACAAGCTACAGGGCAGTTTTTAATACATAGGATGTTTAAAAATATGGGATTTAGAATACATGATTAATGTATGAATGAAGTTATGCATGAACTCCTCGTTGTTTTTTAATACTAAATCCCTGCATTTGTAATACATGATCCGCACGCATTATTAAAAACGGCACTGTACGACCGACTCAAGGTGTCCGTGATGGGGCTGCCGCCCATTCACACCAGTGTTATCACAGTGACTGGCTGACTCGGCAACCCCGATGGGTGCGTAGCATCATTCGGATGCCCCAGAAGCAGCTCGCAGACTTCCAAAGCGCGCCTCGAATACATGGAAGGAAGTACGGAGAACGAAGGCGGCGCGGCGGGACGAGGCGGAACTGGTCAATACATATATATATATAGAGAGAGAGAGAGAGGGAGAGAGAGAGAGAGAGAGAGAGAGAGAGAGCCCGAGACGGAGGAAGCCTAGTTCATCCGCTCCGTCTTCTCTCGCGCCCGCCTCAGCCTCTGCAACCTTCTCTATCCTCCTCCTTCTCCTCCTCCTCCTCCTCCTCCTCCTCCTCCGCCTCCTCCTCCTCCGTCCTCAAACTCCAAGAGGGGATCTGGGGCCCGCGGCACAAGGGAATTGAGATATCAAGCGGAGCATCGTGGAACTGGTACACCTGTGGCCAACAGGATCGGTTCTTCGCTCGGCGTTCATGCACTGGCAACGCTGTTTTAAACGACATGCTAGCCAGTTATGACCCTTGACGCGCCTTCGGAACTACTGAGGTGGGCACTGGGTGACTCTTCGCGGCGTGCTCGGGTAACTGGTCGGCCCGATGGTTCCCAAACGTTTCGGTGACCGAGACGACGCCCCGATCGACACCTCTGACACTCAGGTGTCGGTTCATGTGCTTGCACCACAACTTGGCTGCCACCGCACATGAACTGGTGTGCGAAGCCCCCCAAATGAGCCGTACCCGTCGGCACTAGGATACCATCTAGAAGACTCTGGAGCATGGTGGCGACTGCTCGGTTGACGATCAGAACGTGAACGGAATCTGAAACTCCTTCTGGATTGGTCTGAAAAACCTGCATCTGAAATTTAGCGCAGGCCCTTCCGCAAATAACACCCTGGACCCTGCACGCGCTATTAGAGACTGTCAGCTAGCCACACAGGCCTTGTCTGTGGCCTCATACATGCCCCCATGGCACGTTGGGGCGTGCTAGAATGCCGAGTGCGATCTGGCAGGGCTTTTGGAAACTTTTACTAGAACCACATCGCGCGCGCTTCGCGCGCGCGCTCAGGGTCTCCGGAATCCCAGCTGGCACTGAGATGTCGAGGGTTGAGCAACGGTTGCAGATAGGACTCTGATCCAAAGACGCTACGGAAACACGTAGTAAACAGCCCTTCCCTGAGCACGAAGGTCTCCAGGAGGACGACGAAGAGGACGAGGGGGGCGGTTTGGAGGCCGAGAAAGGGGAGAAGAGTCCAGGAGCATGACGGCGACGACGACGAGGGCAGAACGGCAAGGAGGGACAGGATCATTACGAGAAGCGGAGCCTCTGAAGAGGAAAATCAAAAAACGAGGAACAGAGAGAAGCGGCCACGGTGCCCCTCGTCCACGCTTGCACCTCCTGGTGGCCGGCGGCGCATCCTGCCACCGTGCCTGGGATGTTGGTCAGAGACCTCTCGAACGCCTGTTGCGGTCTTTCGGGAAGCCTCTGGGCAACTTCTTGGCGGCAGTTTTGAAACCCCTTGGGGACCATTTGCGAGCCTCTTGGGGCCTCTCTTGAGTCTTTAAAGGGGGCCTTTAAGGTCCGCTTGGGGGGTTCTTGGGGGCCTGCGGGCGGGTTCCTGGGTCCTCTTGGGCTCGAGGCCTCGAAATGTGAGGACAGAAAAAAGGGGCCACTGTGCCCCTCTTCCACGTGTGCCCCTCCTGGTGGCTTTCTGCCCATCCTGCCACCGTGCCTGGGTTTTTGGTGCGAGACCTCTTGAACGCCTCTTCGGGTCTCTGGGGAAGCCTCTCGGCAGCCTCGTGGAGGAAGTTTTGACTCCTCTTGGGGCCTCTCTTGGGGTTCTTGAAAGCCTGTCGGGTCCACATGGAGGGGTTCTTGGGGGGCCTGCTGGCAGCCTTCGGGGTCATCTTGGGGCGGAGGCCTCGAAATGTGGGTTCGTATTCCCCCCCCCCTCCCTCCCCCTCGGAGCCCCTCTTGGGGCTCTCTTGGGGCCGTCTTGGGCGGTCATGGGTTCCTCTTGGGCCGTCTTGGGGCCCTCTTGGGCCGTCTTGGGGCCCTCTGAAGGACCTCTTGGGCCGTTATGGAGCTTTCCTGGGGGCCTCTGGGGCCGTCTTGGACGTTGCGCACATGAAAGCAGCAAGTGTGCCAGAAACGTGCGCTTTCTTAGGGGAAGAGGGCGATTGTTGCCTCTTCGGGCCCTCTGGAGGGTCCTCTTGGAGCCGTCTTGGGGGCGTCTAGGGGGCCTCTTCTGGGCCGTCCAGGTGCCACGCTGGCCCGTCTGGGACCTGTTTGGAACCTGCCCGGAAGCTCTGGGGGGGCGGGGGAAGCCCCCCCCCCGGAGAGGCTCACGGGGAGGCCCCAGGGAGGACCAGGCAGGGAGGACCAGGGGAGGGCCAGGGGGGACTTGGCGTTGATCAGGTGCCCGGTGCGCTGCGGTCGAGGGGGGGCCCCTGGGCAGGCCGGGCTCCTGGCAGATGACAGAAGGGGCCCCTGTCCTCTCGGGGAGCGTTTTATCTGCATGCATCGCCCCATCCCTTTCTGAGGCCCCCTGGGGCCACAATCCTTCTGGTGAAATGTCGAAGACATGCGCCTCCGAGGCCGCGACGTTTCGCGAGATGCGGCAGGCGCGCGCTGCCGAGGCCAAGATGCCTCCAAGACGGCCCAAGGTGGCTCCAAGACGGCGCACTTTGGCCTCAAGGCGGCCCCCGAGGGCCTCTCGTGGGACCCGAGACGGCCTTCGGAGGCCCTCCGACTGCCCAAGGCGGCACCCAGACGGCCTCACGACGGCCCCCAGGCAACCACCATACGGCCAAGAGGTCCCCTAGACGGCCCAGAAGAACCCCGAGACGGCATCAGGGGGCCCCAAGCGGACCAAGAGGGCCCCCAGGGGCCCCCAAGACTGCCTCACGGGAGGCCAAGGCAGCCACAAGAAGGCCCAAACGAGTTCCACGCGGGCCCCTCAACTAGTGAAGACGAAAGGTGTCACATGCCTCCTCCTCCTCCTCCTCCTCCGCCTCCTCCGCCTCATCATCATTCACAACAGTATCCTGATCCTCCCCCTTTTCTTCCTCCTCATCTTCTCAATCATCATCATCACCACCACCACCACCACCATCATCATCATCATCATCATCATCATCATCATCACCACCACCACCACCACCACCATCATCATCATCATCATCATCATCATCATCATCATCATCATCATCATCATCATCATCATCATCTTCATTATCATCATCATCATCATCATCATCATCATCATCATCATCATCATCATCATCATAATAATAATCATCATCATCATCATCATCATCATCATCATCATCACCATCATCATCGTCATCATCATCATCAACCCACCACCACCACCACCATCATCATCATCATCACCATCATCATTATCACGGCTATCCCAAGCCAAAAGGGGCACGGGAAGTCAGAAAACGGCATCCCGTGCCCCCTCGGCCAGTCGTGCCCCCTCGCCCCGTCGCCACCATCGTCACCATCATCGCCACCCCCATCACCGCGTCTTCTGTCGTCGGCGTCGGCACGAGACCGCGCCCGCCCGAGTCGCCGACTCGCACTGAAGAGCGCGCTGGGAAGTGCCCAGCGGCCAGCGCCACCGCGGCCGAGTCGGCCGCGCCAAGCTAGCCGGCCGCTTCGCGCGCGAGCACGCGCGGGCCAGCGCGGCCGCAGAGACGCACCAGCCAACGCCAAGCACTCATCGCAATCGCCGTCGCATGGGTTTCAGTCGCGGGCGGGCGGGCGAGATGACTGCGCGAGCAGCGGACTTGACAACTCACTGCGAGCATCGGCGAGTTCCACAGCACAGACTGCACCACACTGGGAGCGCAACGCACACAGTATCACATACATTGAAGCCCTCCAGCTCCAGACTCAGCGACCCGCATGTGAACCTGCACGCTCGTCCTTCCCAGATATGAGATCAAGCGCACCACCCCAGCGAAACCGGCATCGCCCCCCTCATCCTGTGCAAACACAATACCCGCACATTCGTTAATCGAAAATCAGACAGTTTCAATGATCCCTCACAACAGCCGGGACGAAACGCACACGCGCGCGTCGTCGCGCGCGCGTGCCGAAATCCGGCAGAAAACCCGGGGCGTCGCACGGGTGTCAAAATCGAGCGCCCCGACAACAGATTTAAAAACATGGCTTTGCAACCATCACTCTCAAACTAAATAGCCCGCGGTCGTGCTCTCGCAGCCTCTACAGAAAACCATCGGCTTCCTCAACAGGTTCATCAAATTCTACAGAACGGGCCCCTCGCGCGTGCATGTCGAACTCATTCGAACACAGCTTGCGCGCGCGATGGGGAGGGGGGGGGCACGATCCGCGTCAAATAAAGCCACGCAGGCCACTCTCGCGCGCCCCCCGCGGGCGCGCATGTCGAACTCCATGAGAAACCTTCATCATCGAAGCGAGGGAGCCGTCATCGTCGTCGGCATGATCAGCATCGGCGCCGTCACTGGCCGCGCCGCCGTCCATGTTATCACCGCCAACCGAATCGACGCTAGCAGCATGGCGATTACCGTTGTCGACGTTGCCATGATATAACGTTCGTCCAAATCGCCGACTCGCGCTGAAGTGCCCGCTGGGAAATGCTCGGCGGCCAGCGCCGCCACGACCGAGTCGGTCGCGCCAAACTAGCCGGCAGCTGCGCGAGCCTGCCCACTAGCGCGGCCGC